TGCGATATGACAGGGGGTTAGAGGAAGAGTAAGATTCCGACTTACCGTTGGAGAATCTTGCTCGTGAACGTCCTCGGGTGCCTCGGCCACGATCAGATCCCCTGAATTGCTGGAATCTATTTCGAGTCTGGGTAGAACATCTGCTGAGTCCTTGTTGTACGGGGGCCGGATGGCCAAAAACGGCTGGCGGCACGGCCCCTCTGCCGTCCAGCCCTTCCAAAAACACCACGGGTGTGGGAACCGCGGAAGACTTTCCGCATTGAAGATTGTGCCTTGTTAAGGGACGTGAATATGTTGACCCTTTTATTTAATTCCTTAAGGAAGGCCTCTCCAAATAATTTACCCTGTGCTAAGGGTCCTAATTCTTTGTCCCCCAGTTCGACCAATTTTTCGTCGATACGGTAAAGTGCTGCTCGGCGCCTCTCCGAAGAGAGGGCTACGTTGGTGTTCCCTAGGAAACAGAAACACCTTTGTGCCCATTCCCGAGTATCTCGTGCCCATTCACGCACCGTATCTGGGGTAAAAGTGTCAGCCCTCTCATAGGCTTCATCCGCCATATCCATGATTCTGGCTAGTGGCCCAATGGCATCTAGAAGCTTATCTTGCGCTCCTTTAAAACCGCGCTCTATGCCCTTGCGCGGATCCCGACCCCCTCGGGACATGAACGTGGTCATGAGCGGGTCAAACTCGGGGGTGTGTGTCACTTTGTCCGGTAGACTAGGGCGAGGGCATTCGGATCTCATCCGGTTTCTTACTTCCTTGTCCAGTGGTTTTCTGAGCCAGAAGTGCATAAACCTTGCCAAATGCTCAGGTGGTGACCATTCTTCCGAACGGGGTGCCGGATGTTTCTTGGGTCGAACATTTGGAGGCCCGAATTGTCGAGGAAAATCTCCGAGCCCTCCTGTGGGTTATCCATGGATGTTGCCATGGAGTCCTGGGGCTCACCCAGACCCTGTTCCCTTATGAAGTAAGGGTCAGAGTTGGCCGTGGAATCCCTGTCGGAGTCCCCCTGGTCAGAGGCTGCCGCCTGCCATTCATCCAGCACAGCTAGTGCCTGAGTGGGTTCTACATCTTCCTCACCTGAGGAAAGTTGTGTGGCATCGTGGGTAGCACGAACCGTGGCTTTTCTGCGATCAGCAGGGGCCTTCCCTTTAGCCTTGCGTGGGGTTACATTGCCCTTCCAATGGCGTTTTCGCCGTTGGGAGTGTTCCCTGGAAGAATCGGAGTCTTCGGAGTCCGCCTTATAATGAACCCGTTTAGAGATGGGCCTGGGGACTTCAGAGTCTGTCTGGAGCGACTTGGAAGCGGCTTGTTCCATGGCTGCAGCCACGGCTGCTGTTATCATGGCCTGGAGGTCTGGGGTTTGTGATTCCTCCATTATAAGGAATGAGGATTCGGGGCTAACCCGGTAAATTGTGTGAGGGCACTTAGGCACGATTAGTGGAGAGGCCTGGGGACCGGGGTGGTATGGTATCAGGATTAAATAACCTGTGGTTAGAGACCGGTAGGTCGTAGGAAGAGGAGAGGGCTGATTCACTGGGGCTCACCCAGGTGATCGGAACCTGCATGAACAGGACCGTTTAGCAGCGTAAAATGGGGGCTCACCCCAGCCAGAATAAGGTGCAGACCAACTGGCTAAACCAACCCCAAGTGTAAGGCACTAACCTGGTCCCACTGAGTGAAAAAAGGGTTAAGGCTTTTGAATTGCTTGCCGGATAGCAGGAGCAGAAAATCAGGCAGTGTCTATCTCTTTAAGATGGCCGCCGGACTGACAGGCTTAGTGTGTGGAGGATAGTACCTCCCTCCAGTTTGGGCGGCAAACTGTAAGCTTGCCATTCGCATAAAACTGTCGAACGTGAATAGAAGATCTATGCGAACTGCCGAATGTGCGAATAGAAATAGATGCGAACGCTAAAAGGCGATCGCGTCAAACTGCCGAACGAGGCGTTCGGTTGAAAGAAACGAATAGTCAATGCGCGGTCGCACAGAAAAGACCACGGGCATTCGCGTCAAACAGGCGAATGCGCTAAACTACCGAATAAAGCGTTCAGTAGAAACAGCAGAAAAAGGCTGTTAAAAGAAACAGAGAATATGGAGGGAAGGTACAGACGGCGGGAAAGCCGTGAAAGACAGCTAGGGAGCCAGACAAGGTCCCCTGGTATACGGATAGGTTAAGAGTAGTAATAGGGCAAATATATAAAGGTACAGTGATAGACAAAGGCGTAAATAGACAAAGGCGTAAATGAATAATTGTATGTAGAATAGATAACACAAAATTTGGTACTTAACTTGTGTTGGAGCAGCAAAGAAAGAGGAAATGATGTCATAGGTCTCACCTCTTATACCCTATTCTACGTTGTGATTGGTTAAACGTTTTGTCACTCTTTTCTTTGCTGCTATGGAGATAGTAAAGAAAGATTATGCAAAATACGAAGCCTCCTGTCATGTGATAAAATTACTACCACACCTATTTGTTTTCACATGATTAAGAATAAGTTTGTAGACCATAGTATGCAGGTTGGTATTAAGTCCTGTAAACAATTTAAAAGACTAAGGCCAACAGCAAGGAATACAGATGTCAGGAATGAGAGAAATAATGTGTGGCAGCACAGAAAAAACAGATGGTCCTCTTCTATCAGTTCATTTCAAATGCAGTCTAATACTGTCATGGTAATTCACTAAAACCAGATTTTGTCTGGATGGACAAAATCCAGTAGAAACAGTTCAATTCAAACAGAAATGGTAATTCTCATGTTTAGTACAGTCATTAAAATCAGGGCTTCTTGCATCCAAACCCTATACAAATGCAGAGTTGTGAAGATGCACAGAGTGACACTTCTATGCCATTTTTATCTTTACATTGTTTAACATAGGAGTTTGTAAAATAAATAAATTGGACCAGTGGCGGAACTAATGTGCAAGAAATGGTTGAGCCATTTCTAGTGCAAGAATGGCAAAATGGTGAATCCCCATATATTGTACAACTCCCACAATGCTATGCTAGCTGGGGATTTACCATTTGCACACTGACACACACACACACACACATACACTCAGATACACACACATACACTGACACAGATACACACACCTTGACACACATATGCTCATACACACACTGACGCAGATACACACAGTGACACATACACACACACCTTGAGACATAGATATACATACATGCAATCAGATGCACACACTGACAAAAATACACACACTGACACAGATACACACATTGGCACATACACACACACTGACACAGATACAAACACACACAAAGATACACAGACTTTAATGCAGAGATACACATACATACACACACACACACACACACAGATAAACATAACAAGCCCCCAAACTTTTCAATACTTATCTATAGCTATTCTTTTGAATGTCCTTTAACAGCACCTTGCGTGAGAACAGCATCCTTTCAACAGTGTTTCTTACACCTTGGGCCCCACTCCTCACTCCAGACCCACCAGGCTCCTCTGTTGCCAGCAGGCAAATGCTTTGCCAGCAAGAGGCCACCCTGGCTGTACTGGTGATAGTTCTACCACTGGATTGGACTTAATTTTAGGCAAGGAGCAGAATTGTCAATGATCCTCCTCCCCTCCTCCCCCATGCTCAGACCCCTTCCAATTAAAAGGGAGTCCAAGGGATTAAAAATATTTATTAAGCCTATCTTACTAAATGTAGACATTATAATGCTGGATGAGGCCATCCTTTTACATTGCAAAGAAAGTCCTACAATGAATAAAATAGTACATAATAATAGGCTAAATGTTCATACCTAAGAATAAAATATATTTTTCACATATTGACATTTAATCACTGCCCTGAAATTGAATTGGTTATGTCTCTGTCCTCCATCCAGGCACATAGCCGTAATGATACTGATGGACTATACACGTCAAGAATTACTTCAGTCAGTACTCGATGATGCAAGCCAGATGCTTGATGTCTTAGTTGAGTAGTGAGATAGGTCAATAGCTGGAGAACAGTTTAGTGTCACAGTCTTCCTTGGAGAGTACAGTCATTAGAGAATCACAACAGAAGCAGCAGTAAAACATTAAAAGCGGCAATAGTGAGTTCAGAAGGATATGGGCAAGGGTCTTATACACCCCAATCAGCAGTCTACTGTATTTGCTAAAATATTCATAAAAGAAGTATTGGGACTTAAAAATATTGTGTAACGGTTGTGTGATTAGGCTACTGAGATCCTTACACATTTCAGTTGTATGAATGTGCTGTTATTGAGGTTGTGTCTGTGCATAGTTTAAAATTTGAAAAATTCTTGGTTACATTTTGCAGCATACACATCAGAAAAATTTATATAGTTGGTAGGCCACAGTATCTTTAACATAACAAAAACCTTAAAAACCTGCTTGCAGTGTCCTAACGTGGGCATGAACAAATTTAAGATATATGGATAATGAAAGGTCAATCATGGCCTTTTAAAGAGCAGTTGTTAGCCATAAAACCTTGAGGGAACCTGAAACCTCTGAGGAGTATGGCCATCCCTTTAATAGAAATAAGTCTTCCTGATGAAGGCCACAGAAGTTGAGCAGAACCACAAATCCCTCAGCAAATCCCTCAACCACAAATCTTCTCAGGGATAACTAGACCCTTGGGATTAATTAGTCAGGAGGAAAAGTCAGAAGTGGGTCATTACAGCAGGTACACAGACACAGATACACGCAGTAGGGAAAGAGAGAGGGAAAAAAAGGGTGCAAGAAGAAAAAAAGAGGGATGGTTGAAAGAAGGAGAAGAGAGAAAAAAAATAAGACATAGACTCCAAAAAACAGGCCTACATGAAAAAACATTTTTTGTTGTTGCTATTTATTTTTTATTTTTTTTAATTCTTTATTTTTGATGTGCATGTATAACATTCGCTTGACTGTAATGCCACAACAGCATTCTTAGGTAATATAAACATACAAGAGTTGTAACTGTTGTTAATCATTTAGAAGGTTATTTTTTAAACAATATATGATAAAACAGGTTAGGTACATGCTGGCTGTTTAAAATGAATTAGTCAGACATTTGGTAACAGTAGCTTAAGGTTATTAAGTGCAGTAATCGTTGTCGCTTTAGCTTCGGGCCCTAGGTATGATTACATTTGAACAGGCTGTCTAACTAGTCATATCCTACAGTCGATTAGCAGTTAGGTCACATATCAGACATTGTGTCAGTCGCTAGGTAAGTTGCTTTAATGTGATGGGTTATGCTAATTCAAATCCAGTATTTGTAGTAGTAGTGAAACAAAGATCACCCATGCTTTTGCGATTCTAACTAATAACAGTTATCTAAAGACAGGCTGGTAAGGTCAACAAGATGGGTGCTCCTATTCACAATGTGATCTATGGGCAAGCTTTTGGGTGGAGTATACCCCCAGGCAGCAGATCTTGTAAGTGAATGGCACAGAGTCCCTGAGGGTGAGATGGTGGAAGACAGGCCAGTTTCCGGTTGTATAAAGTCCCTTGTTAGGTCAGTAAGAGACGTCATCGGCAGCTGCTGATTTCTTATATCAGGGAGCCTGGTCTGCTGCCAGTCGCTGGGTGCTGGGTAAGTTCTCTACTATTTTCCTGTCGCATGTGAGGATCTCCTCGACTTCAGGGATTTGGGTGATGGCTCTATTGCTTTTCAACCTGCTGGTTTGTCCCCAGTGCGGCGGTGGTTGCGGGCATCTTGTTGCCCTGCTTGGAGACCTCTGAGGATCCAGTGTTAGTGAAGGTGGGTGGCTTGCTGGGGTTCTAGGATGTGTGCAGGTGGATGGTTGCAGTCGGGATCTGTACGTTTGGTATTTACAGTCTGCTCGTTGTACTGCTGCTTTTGGAAGTATCCTGTGGAGGCTCTGGTCTTGCCACCTTCACATTTGGCCTCCGTCATCTTGGTGACAGTGGCAGGGGTGTGGGTCTTGGCAGCCCTGTAGCTTAGCCTGTCGTGCTTGCGGTTGTCAGGTCCCAAAAGTGGGGACCTGGATCACCAGCCCGGTCCAGAGAGGGGGGGGGGGTACGGGCCCAGTTCCCCGCGGGTCTGAATCTGAGCGCTGAACGGCATGTGGCAGGACAGCGGCAGGACAGCGGCAGGGCAGCGGCCGTCCGCCCCCCTCTCGCCTCCAGAGTAGGCCTCAAAAGTGTCAGGTAGGATTCCTCCTCCAGGGGACTGAAGCCTGTTGGGCCAGCCTCACCCAGGATCCAGGGCTCTCTGCCCGCTGAGGGCCACCGTTGCCGCTTGGTTTTGTGCCAGAAATCTGAATTTTATAGCTTCTTAGGCCTTGGGTTGCAGGAGCTGGTCTCACTTGCGTCCATCCAGCTGGGCGGTCAGGCCCCGCCCCCCGTTGTTGCTATTTTTATTCTCCTGTTCTGTTTCCCTGTCCAAGAAGCTCAATTTCATTCACTAGAGTTCTGCCTGCTAACATTCATACTAAAATCAGAAATGAAAGGTCTGGGTGCGAGTAGGGGGAGGAAAAGTTTGACAATGTGTATGTAGTCTATAATGCAAGGCTGTTATTATATTTGTAGCTTGTAATTTTGAGGGTGAATGGAACTGTAGACATAATCAACATTAGTGACATCACTCAGGATTGTCAATCATGAAGCCGAATAGGAGGGGAAGATCTGTGGATGTGGGGCAAATGAGAGTCAAAAGATGCTGTTAACTGCTCCTAGAGCAGCATGCTTCATGTGACTGATATGGCCTTAACATGTATATGTAGGCATTCAGAGACACATGACACCATTATTGTATGGAAGATGGGAGACAACAAAATAAATAACATCATATACAGTTCCATATACATAACAATGTAAATATAATACATAAGAAAGATGGAGCATATGTCTTTAACAGCAATAGGGGAAAGAGGGCTGACAGGATAAGCTAGCTCAAGCACTCATCTGACAAAGCTCAGCACATGCCCAGAGCTTGGCCATCAGCTAGTTGGACCAGCTGTAAAGGAGAGGATTCAGTCCGGGAAGGCAAGTTGAAGGCTTGGAGATAATCAGTAAGACCGGAAGGCTTAGATATAGCATACCAGGCACTGCCCGTACAGGTTTGATGGCTGAAGAGAAAACCCCATCTGTAGGGTATATTGTGGGTCCAGAATTTGTTGGTGATGGAGCATAGGGTGACAAGAGAAAGAAAAGACCATCAGTCAGGAACGACCTGGCTGGTGGTCTGTGAAAAGATCACCAGCTAGGAAGATCATTGATGTGTCTTGAGCAGGATTTATTCCTCAATTAAGTATGAATAAAAGCAGCAGATAAAAACACAAGGGGGCCATTTAGAGACGTAGGGCAAAAAAACATTGTGGGCTCAGTAACACTCTATGTGCTGCAGATCCTCGATGCCTACTAAGTATAAGTGAAAGACTGCTCTCAAAAAATATCTGGAAGAATGCATAGCCTTATAATGGACTCCCTGATCTGTCCAAATCCTCCAATCATTGTGTACTTCAACCAGCATTTTGGTGGACCCTGTCCTATCCCCTTTCGGTTTCCCATATCCCCTTTCATTATCCAAATAACTTGTGTTCTTTTTTTCCCCCCCCGAATGGTTTATGTTCCCCTGGCTCTATACCTTCTATCTCCAGAACATTATCTGAAGTGCTCTCCCCTTGGCAGCGATTCGGCAACAAGCTGTAACCGTACAGCCCCAATGGCACTTAGCCATCATCGCTCTGGAACTGGAATCGGCCACTTCACCCTCTGACCTGCAGTGGTTATGGTGCTGTGGTCTTCTGTTCCCTTTCCCAACAGCTGAGCATGAGTGATTATAGCTGCAGCAGGGAGTAGAGGAATAAGGTAGATGAAATGCAGTTCCAAGGTGATTCTTCCCAGCAAGTAGAATATCCCCCAAACATGAGCCTAGACTTCATGAAGGGTGTAACAGGAAATGAATTTTATTGACACACACGGGCTTTTATGAGAAATCCTCCTGCAATAGGACCTCCCACAGCAAACAAAGACAACAACCAATCAACTTACAGATTTACAGTAATACGCGCCTCCTCTCTGCCTGAGAGATATTGAGATAAGTTAAGGAATAAACCAATTATCTCCAAGCAGAGAGCACACAATTTCCCCAAAACTTAGAACACCCCTTTCCCCACAAGGTATCCCCACAAATTACATATCCCCTGATAGCCCCTATCTGGGGGACAAACATATCCAAATTTCACCCAGATCGGTTCAGGAGTACTGAAAAAGTGTGGAGGGTCCCTTTTACCGACCACACAAGTGGCTCCTGTCCCATTCGGGACTTTTGTTCGTTTTTTACAGATTTGTGAATTCAGCGTGTGCGGTCGGTCAATTCACAAATCTGTAAAAACCGAACAAAAGTCCTGAATGGAATCCCCTGGCTCATAGTAGAGATTGCTCCCCTTGTCCGTTCGCATAGAACTACCGAATGGCACTTTCCTGGCTGTTCGGGAAATATAAGAAACCGGCGTTCGGTAGTTTCAGCAGTGGTTTGCGAGGTCGAGTGTCTGATTTTAGTTCCAGACACTCGACGACCAAGTCCCGCTGGCTCTCCTCGTGCGAACAAGATGGCCGCCATTTTCTCTTCCACATGGCATTTGGCTGTACGAACAGCGGCCGCCCAGGGAGCACTTAATAGCTGGTTCCTTTGTAGTTGATGAGCCAGGAGGGTGGTCGGCGTTCGGTAGTTTCAAACTACCGAACCAATTCATTCACTATACAAGTAGTAACACAGAAAAATACCGAATAAAGGAGAAAATGTCAGTTAAAAGTCCATTTTCTTCACACCCTCCCTTCTCCAGTCACCTTTACCCCTTGTGTTTTCCCCATTCCTGACCAGCCAGAAGAGCACTAATTGGAGGAAAGCTACTATGGACTATAAGGAACAATCTGTCCCTGAGAGCCAGATAGAGCCCCTCTTCATTTGTACACAGCAGATCCCAACATATTACCAGCTGAAGGGACAGTTGCAGTGGAATTACCTTTGGCAGCGGATGGTCAGAACTTTACCCCAGTGGCGATTTGGCTACACCACATGGCTCTGAACACTATTTGAACAACTTGGGTGCTCACATCAGAGCTATCTGGACATATAATATATGTGGCGGTTCCTGCACGTTTTGGGGAGATTCTGTGTTTTGTAAAATCTGTGACCGGAAGATAATTAAGTTAACTGCTATCTGACTAAACCATCTCCCATACACAGAGGCACCTTGGTGGGCTTAAATGGAATAAACTGAGACTCCATGCTGGGTGTCTGTGTATATAAGAGTGTGCTGTATATGTTGTACTCCCAGAACTGTGTGTTGTCTAATTACTGTGGGAAAGGGCTATATTCACTAACCAGTGCTTTGTTCCAGCTCGAGAGGATTTCGGCGGAGATATATGGTCTCAGGATTGCAGCTCCGCTACAGCATCTTGTAGGTCTTGTTGGACATATATAGAAAAGTGGGCCAGTTATTGGGCCTCAAGCGCAACCATCATTGCCTTAGTAGCAGCCACACAAGATTCAAGGCATGCTAGGCCTGTCTGGAGGCCTGCATTTTGGAGCTAGGGATTGCATGACGTTGATTTGTCACATGCTGGAATGGCCCTGATATCGAGGTGTACATGGATTTCTCTGAGGTGGGATGAGAGGGCATTAAATGTGGCACCATACTGGATAGGTACCTCGTGACGTGAAGCTTTGCCAGGAAATAATCCATCAGATCTGACAATTGGGTTCCCACCCTCCCCAGACTCTGCAATGGCTTCCTGTATGTTTGTTTTTCCTCATAAAAGTTATTGTAAGTGCAGGAAGTTGGTGCTCAGTTAGTGTGTCGACAGCCAGGAAACGCCCTTTTGATTTTTGTTTTTCATAAAAGGAGGGTAATCATGTATAATGGCAAATTTGCAAAGATCTTTGTCATATGCGTGGGATAGGCATAAGTCTATCCTAGCTATAAGATAAGGCCAGGGACTAATGAAAGTATTTGAAAAATTGGGCAGTATAGATGGGCCGAATGGTTCTTATCTGCCATTACATGCTATGTTTCTATATGTGATTATAGTAAATATAGCAATTGTCACAAATCTCACAACTGCTGCACTAACATGCGTCTAAGTATTTTTAGTCCAAAAAGCTTTATTTCCACTCATACTTCTATGGATTTATGTGTTTTTTGACTTCTGCATCTTTAAATATTTTCAACAGTCTATATGAGATTTACTATAAATGAGCAGCATGTGCATAATTACATAAACACAAGAATATTTTGGCTTCCAGAAAAATGAATGATATTTTTCCTTTTCAAAAATGTAAATCACTCTTATGTACATTTTCTCAGCATGAATATCTATATAAATAAACTCATCCTCCAGACTGAAATTTGAATATAAACAGTGCCATATGGGGGGAAAAAAACTATTTTAAATACAAATATGTTGTTTGTTTTGCTGTAGATTGTCCTGACAGATTGTTTGGTATACTTGCAGCCCAAAGGTATGTAACTTATGCATATTCAACAAAAATGAAAATGCAGTTTAAGGCACAGTTACATATAGCTTGGGATGAATACTTTGCAAATAATTCCTTTTGAAGTTTCATTAGTGGATAATCATTACTGGAGTTTGATGGAAAAAAAATGTGCTTGTTTTCAAAAAAATGTAAAAAAAATTAAGAAAAGTGTTTATTAAGTCATGAGTGTGATAGACCGCTTGCCACCCCGACCGGATGCCACCGTCAGTCGAGGCTTCTAGTGCTCACCGAGGACTCCAAGCACTCCACCAGACACCATCAGCACTGTAGCCCCCTAGCTGCCATAGCTTGGCTGGGGATCTCACCGTCCCTTCTTACCCTAGACCAAACTCCTGGATCTAGCTCCCAGTGGGAAGGCACCTCCTCCAAGAGAGTATAGCAGGTATAGCTGTGAAGCTCTTACAAGAACTAGTGGTTATAGCTTGTATAACAGGTCCCTACAAACACAAGGCGAGGCTCTATGTTGAGGGTAAAGCAGTACTGGTTTAATGGTAGCCACACTGGCCTTTTATGCAGGTCCCCATAGAAGGGTGACACCCACATGGACATCGTTGGGGACAGGGACACAAACTAACAAACCAATAAGAACAGTGATTAAATTCATGACACTCCCACATACAATACAATAAGCCTTACCCTTTATTTAGGAGATAATTGAGTCAAGAACTATACTAAACTCAATTATCTCCAAACACCAAAAAACACACATTTCTAAAAAGTACCACAAAACACATAATATTCCCACAAATGTTACATTCCCTGATAACCTTGATCTGGGTGACCAACAGATCCAAAAATTACCCAGATCAGGGCACGGAGCTAGCCACGCACGT